CTATACACATGATTTCTATGACTATCAACATTTACCAAGTCTAATGTGCTTTGAGTTGTCGTTATCCCAATATTTTATAAATTACATCTAAAAATTATTTCATTAAATAATTTAATTTAATTTGAACATAATAATTTTAAAAAATAGTTAATTGAAGGTCATTTTAGTAACAAATATAAGTAATGATTCACAATTGATCAAATCGACGTAATATAGGGGATAAAAAGTGAGCAGATGCCTTTGTTCTTTATGCAAGTGTTCTCAATTTACACTATGAAATCAAATAATAAGATCAGGAATAAGAGTATGAAGTAAAAAGCAAAATAATTTTCATAGTCCCTAAATTTTTATATTACTATTTTTGCCGCTTTATAACATTTTGTATATTTTATTCAAAACCAATGTAGTTTTTGCCGCTTTATAATTTATTCAATATTTTTCCTATTTAATTTAGGAGAACAAAGTTACGGGAATGGTCTAGAATTCTACTGGAAATTGTAAAGGTTTTTTGAATAAATCAAATTCTTCCTTTAATACATTTTTCCTTTATTTTAAATTAAAAGGTTAATATAGTCTTTGTACGTTTCTGGCCAAATTTTGGTCACATTTTTCTGACCATTTAGCACTTTCCCTAAATTAATTATTAAAATGCTCAACTACACTTTACCCCCGACAATTCGTACCAAGTTTAAAAGTTTTTAATATTTTTCTTGTACCCATAAAAGCATGCAAGTGGGAAAACAATGCATGGCAGCAGGACAACACAAATTATCTCAAAGTCCCCTTCAAATTTAATAGAGCTACTAAATGACCACAATTTTGTGGCTCAAAAATAGCCACAAATATTTAAAAATACCATACAAACCTTTTTTCTTTTAAATAAAGCTAATTTCTATTATTTTTTAAATTCTAAATGTAAATGCAACCAAAAGATTTATGTTGGGTAAGCTATAACATCTTCGTTCATCTTTTCTCGTCTTTTCTAGTATTTTATTTTATTTTTTCATTATACATATAGGTGTATCTTACTCAATGTTGCTCATCTTGTATTCTTAAGATACTTGAAACAAAAACTTTGAAGAACTTGGTAAGAAACAACAAAGTTTAAAGAGTATTTTCAAACTAGAAAATTAAAACTAGTAGAGAAAATAGAATCAGAAACAGATTAGAAACAATATAAAATTATTTTTCTCAAAGAAAGAAAATCGATCCCACTGAATGCACAGTATCACCTTAAGGAAATTATTCCTCTCAAGTACCCGAGGTTAATGGAATATATCCTCCCAGGATAGAACGATCTTACTCACCGGTGTATCGGTACCTAAAACCACGGGGTCAGCGAACCACTCAACGGCAGTAAAGTACACTTAGAATACTAGATTTAGTAGT